CAGTAAATATAAATGAGACTTATCGTGTCGACACACGTTGACGTATGTCGTGTGTTTATCTTGTCGACACTAGTGAAAGAGGCTCGTCGCAGCGACACGAATGTCAGGACTTCACAGTGAGGAGAGGTGGGGTGAGGGAATGTGTGTTGCGGGGAATATAGTAAACCTTGCCCTCCCTTCCCGTGACTACCGTCATGTGATGGTTGCCAAAATCTATTTCTGTAATATTTGTCTAATGAAAAATAAATTAATGAGTTATTATAATTTAAAAACATTACGTAATTGACTGTTCTTAGTTCAAGCAGTTTTATGACGATCGCGAAAGAAGCTTGAAATTATGATTCATTATCTGTAATATAAAATGTGCCTGGCAATACTTCTCTGACACTCTCTTTTTCTTTCCTGTGACATCATCAGCCATCTGAAAACGTCCGATGATATCACAATTTCTACCGGAGCTCATAATTTTCAATTAAATTTTCAAAAAATAATCGTGTTTCATAATTTTTTCGACACAAAAATGTGTCATTAATATTATAAATGAATCATGTGGACGTTAATTAGAAAACCACTTTAACTCTAAAGTTGTCCTTAAACTATATTGAAACAGTTTATCTAGCCAGAAGAACACATACAGAATGGATAATAATAACAATATTAACATGGCTGAGCCAGTTGAGAGCCTGAGCTCTCTTGTAAACATCTGATATATACTGTACATTTATCTCAAGGAAGTATGATGTAACGTTAGTATCATCTGAAGTGCACATAACTTCGTGGTAATAAGAGCATATCAAAATGTTACCATGGTTATCACTTCGTTATTTATCTTATTTATTTATTTATTTATTTATTTATTTTTCATTATATTATAAGTATATACATACTTTACAGTGGAGTTGATATACATAAATATGATAAGGGAGGGAAGCAGTACAACATGGGTTGTATTAAGGTGGAACGAGAGGACAAAGTTGTCAGTTGTCTAGTTGGCAAATATATTTATTGCAGTGGTATTTTCTATATCTACATGATGATTTCTGACAAAACGGTTTTGGTGGTACAATAAAAGCAGGAAAACAAAGTAAGTATTACAAGAAATATTAATACTTAGACAATTGATATTTTTAAGAGATGATTTAAAGGAAGGGAGCGTCGTCTTTGCTCGGATGGGTGGGGGTAAGTTGTTCCATACCTTCACTATGATATTTTAGGGAGGTCTGGGACTGAGACGAGCGCATAGGGGGTGGTCTCAGTAGGTCTGGGTATCTTAAGTTGTATCTTTGATTATTCCGGAACTGAAAATAATTAATGTCAAGCAAGTGCTGGACAGATTTGTAAACCAATGGGGCACACCAGTAGGTGTTAATGTCCTCGAATTTTAACATTTTCAATTTAGCAAATTGTTCGTTAGTGCGATAATTTTTTTTCAAGTAGGTCATTGTCCGCACAACTCCCTTTTGTGCAGTAATCAGGGTTGTGTTTTTAAGAACCAGAGCCCCCCATAGTGTGTGAGTATATCAAGTGTTGGTAAACAAGATCATAGTAGATTTATTTCATTGCTGTAAGAGTGAGTGACTGTCGAGTGTGATACATGATACCGCACTGTTTATTGAATTTACTGTGAATGGCTTGTATGTGGTTTCTCCAGCTAAGTTTCTCATCAACAATAACCCAAAGAAATTTAGTATTTTGTTCGCGTTTGAGGACTGTATTACCAAGGTACAGGGGGTCCAAATCCGGGGGTAAGTTTTACCTACTGTGAATGATCGTGTAGTGGATTTTTTCGGGGTGTATGGTCAGTTTATTACGTATTACCCAGGTCCTGACTTTAGTCAATTCAGTGTTCATAGTTCTCATCAAGGAATGGAGGTCTGAGTTGCTGGCATAGAGATTATTATCGTCTGTGAATAAGTTGTATTTTAAGAGTATGCTGGAGTGGACTATATCGTGTATGTACAACAAAAACAGTACAGGACCGAGAATGGAACCCTTGGGGACGCCACAAAAAATTGGTGAGGAGTCAGATTGATGATTATTATAGCAGACATACTGCTTCCTATTAGACATACGAGGTAAACCAATTGTGGGATAAAGCCCCTGACGCCGTTATGTTCAAGCTTTGACAGGAGGATGGTATGGTCGACAGTATCAAAGGCTTCAGAGAGGTCCAGGAATATACCGACTGTGAACTGACTGTCATCAAAGGAGTTTAAGATGTCATTAGTGAAGGATAACAGAGCACTCTCAGTCGACCTTCTAGCTCTAAATCCAAAACTGAGAGTCTGTAAGGATGTTATTGACATTGCAGAAGGAATTTAGTCTACTACATGCTAGCTTCTCCAGTATCTTAGTCAAGGCTGGGAGGACTGATATGGGGGCGGTAATTCTTAAAAAGACTTGTCCCCAGATTTTTTTTATATGCTGGGTGAACTTTAGCAATCTTCAGTTTATCCGAAAAGACATCATTAGTGAAGGAGGAGTTACAAATGTGGAGGAGAACAGGTCGTAATAAGTGGGCTACTTTCTTAATGATGCGCATTGGTATATTGTCGTCGCCTGCTGCTGTTTTGGACATTTTTATGATGGCCAGTAATTCTTCTGCTGTGAAAGGGGATAAGAACAGCTCATTTTACTGTCTGTTTTGCAGGTAGGCTCTAAATTCCTCATGGTGATCAGGGATGCTCTCTGCAAGATTTTTTAACATTGATAAATAATCATTGAGGTAGTTGGTAAAAGGGAGGTTCCGTTGCAACTGAATCATTTATCATAAAAGCTGAGTGGGGGGCCGAAGGTTGGGTGTTCATGTACCACACCTTCACATACACCAAAAACCTTGTATATCACCTCCTAGTTTTATTGTAGTTCTTGGGCAAATATTTACAATTCCTGTCAACGAAATACAAAAACAAACATTTCTAACGTAAGTTAATTAAATATTCATCATTATTAAGTTGTAAAGGTGTTTGACATCATGGATCACAAACTCGGGGCTGTAGCAGACACGCCTTTAGTGTTATATATTAACAATACCAACATACAAACCCACAACACGCAGCGTTTGCATCCATTCATCCAGGTCCAACAACTAAATCACCGACATATACAAATTGTGCTCTTGATTCAATAATGAAAACGTCACTACCAGCATTGCGGCTCCATGCATTTATATATACAAATAAGTAGGTTCCGTCCTCCCCCCTCTGACAACCCAGACCAGTGTGACGCTTTTATACACACACACACACACACACACACACACACACACACACACACACACACACACACTCTCTCTCTGTCACCACCACCAGCGCCGTTATTATTCTCCTTCACTGTTTAATACACAGTCTGATACAAATAAACGGATCCCTGACAACAGAAAAATACTGCCTAACTCACGTAAACTATAACAATTTATACACGTAACACAAGAGTACTATACCATTAACAATGTTGACACTAACCTGGGTAAGTCCCTGACCGTGCCAAAGCAAAAAGTCCGAAAGGCCGGAATTCTAGAGAATGATAACACAGAAAATCCTGAACACACAACACCCAAGATTTTTATTGTGACACATCCACATAAGTTTGGTTAAAAGCAGTCGTTGTTGTAAGAATTATCTCGTTCACAACTCCGGTCGCAGTGTGGACAATGCGCTTGGAAGTGAAGGTACAGTATGCATGAATGAAGGCAAGTCTCCATAATGCACCACGATAGATCCCTAGACGCTAGAATATATCAACACCGTTATCTATACATAAGGATGATCCGTAAATAAAAACTGGAATTAAAAACGTTAAATAAAAAAAAATAGTAATAATAGGGACAATATAAACGTTAAAACAGTATACGAGCGTCCAGTCAACAAAGTCACATTGTCCAACGGGTCAATCTCCTCCCACAACAAACAAATCCTCGCCACGCACCAGATAAACTCTCCAGCTATAACTAAGAGTTACAGGCACGTAAAACTCGAAAAAGAGGTGTTTGAAAGTGTCCGGAAACGCAAGTGTGCGTGTGTTTAAGTAAATGTGTGTGTAGGCTTCATTGTGTGAGTACATGTGGTGTATATTTACTGTATGTTTGTGTATGAATGTGAAGGGTGTTTATATTCGTACATACACGCGTGTTCGGTACATATACACATGCACGGTGCACTATTATCAGGCGGAGCACGAAGAATGAATTGCCCCCGCAGTCCCTTATTGCATATTTAAAAGACACATTAATTCTGCAGCCAGAGGACTTAGCTGTAGAGAATTTCAGAGCTAACAAGTCACTCACAATAAGAATGCGAGTTTATGTAGCTCTCTAACTCGTGGAACTTCTCTACTCGACTGTTCCCTCTTACACCACAACTCGCTAACGCCCAAGCCAAATTAAAGCCCTGAAAATAGTCAATACTTGGCATGCAGATGAGACACACGCTAGAGTTTGGTGGGGTTATTGTGGTAAGCATCAATGAGGAGGCGAACATAACTAACAACCCTCCTTAACTCTCTGCTCCCCAGATTGTAAGGAAACAACAATACACTTGTCCAGTAAGGCGCAGTCTGATTACAATGAACGACTTAAACTACAGTGGCTGTTTAACTGCTCTTACTTCAATAAACTCTTTTGTTCATCGTCCACCCTCAAAAATATCAATAACTCGTACATTATTGCAGTATAAATATAAAATAATACACTTACATAAATTCTCTCGACAGTTCACCCATTAAATAATCTCCGTTATTTTTTCCTTACTAAATAACTTATTGTATTTTACAAAAAGTTCCTCATTGCTGTTCCCATCAGACATGTATGATAAAAACGTTTACAGGAATGAAAACAGGTAAATGTGCACCGGGTTATTTACAGGATAATTAGTAAAACAAGAATAAAGAAGAAACTACTCGTATCAAACAGTATGAGGGATCAGCAGCAGCTGGTATGCCTCTCCACAACGACACACTTACGAAGGGTACGTTAGACCAGCCTTCGATTGTCTAGCACCTACCTGTCTTGGAGTCGATGGTGAAGAGTGACTGAGGGTTACCAGCGGTGATGTTGTAGGTGATGTTCGCCCCGGGGTCAGGATCACTGGCGTCTACGGTCACAACTCTGGTACCTGGCGGGGAGTTCTCGGTCACCCCCGGCCAGTATACCGGCCAGGAGCTCAACGGCCGGTGGTCGTTCACGTCTGCCACCTCCACGTATACCTGCGTAAATAAAACAAGAAGCAATGATTAGTCAAATAAACAGCCAAAGATGACACGTTCACCTGATACGTACACCCACTAAAAATTATTCGGCACCCGTGTCATATTGTATCACGCCGTAAGGGTGCTGAATAATTTTTTAGTGGGTGTACGTCAGACTGCAGACAGTCATTAAACATACAAATGTATCGATGTAATGACTTGTGGAATGTTTATATGACGAGCCCCTGTAAACGCATTAGTGAAGGGAACTGTACATGTTACGCATAATGACCAACCTGGCCAAATTCAAGTGTGTAAATTGTCAGCAAACCATGTAGGCATCTGCTGTACTTAACATAATGGCGCTATAATTATAATCTATAACTTTATTTCATTTCAATTGCAGGCTCTCCTGTAATTACTCATTAAACGCAGACGACACTCTTCATACCCATAATTACCTTTGATAAATTACCCGCCCCAACTCTTCTCTGGTGTGAGGCAGCATCTTGAACAGCGAGACCTTGTTATCTATCTGAGGGTGACACACACCCATTTCCCCACCACAATCATAACAACACCCACCTTACCGACACAACAACACCCACCTTACCGACACAACAACACCCACCTTACCGACACAACAACATCCACCTCCTCATCACCTTACCATTATTGATATCCATTACACTGATCACCTTTTCCACATCCATGAAAGCAATACTACACATACAACACAATTTGGATGTAATGTTATGTAATGAGTAAAGACCCTGAGAGCGTGCTATGGATCCCTCAGCAACCATCTGTGGATGACGCCTACTGACTATCGTGACACGTTGGTCTATTTAGCAAACGTATAAAATAATCTCTCGATACCATTCATAACGTAAACCATTCTCTTACCCAGCCACCCGCTGCTACTGGGTCGTGAACTCCTCCCGTCTCCTCCCTCCACCTAACACCTCCTCACTTCTGCATACACCCAGACAAGTACAGGTTCTAATTGTACGTCTCGGATATTAAAGTCTGCTGCAGTGCTTCCTGACGAGGTTCCCACACCCTTTAATAGAGAAGTGCACGCAGGCCACCCTGTCTCATGGTTCTCTCCGTCCGACGCCTCGCTCATTCTCCTCCCACACTTAGCTATACTCTCCTGTAGTGTTCATACAATAAACACCAAGAGTTGATGGTCAAGGGTCACCTCTGGAGAAGGACAACGACCTTGAAACCGTACACAATCACTGGACATCGTTTGTATAGAATCTCAAGACATTTAAAATAAAAGAGTAAGTGATGACAATAATGGGTGGGATTATACCAGAGCAACATATCACAAGTTCACCAACGAAACAGTCATCACCCTCAGTCCAGGACGGCTATGATTATGAGTCGAGCACAAACACTCCCCGGAGGTACAAGACTCGATGTAACTAACACACAATAACCAGATAACGACAAATCTCAGGTTCGTAACTTATATAAGGGTGTCATGGTATATCTTCCTGTCATACTATATATTTATGATGCGCTATAAAATCAAAATCTATCCTATTTACTCCCCCCTCCCATGGCCTGCCACACCACCAACCAAAACCCCTTCCAACCCTCAGTACAAACTGCCTAAGCGTATCGACTACTCAGCTCACCACCTCGACCAAACCTCCGTCTTAGCTCACCTCCTCGACCCACCTCCCGTCCCAGTCTCGGCTCACCCTAGCAGCAGACAAAAGCCCGGGCTAATACCGGAAACCGTCATATCCTGGAGGCATCAAAAGACCCCCGCTAAAAAAACGAGGCATAACGCCGGAAGGACACAATGTAGGGTGCGGCCTCCACCGTGGCCAAATAGTGAGGCTCCCCGGCCACTACTGTCACGACGATGAAAGGCGCCTGGTGAAGCACGAGGAGCAACACCAGGACCCCCTAACTGGTCACCGCCTCCTCCTCCCTCCCTCCCTCCCTACACTACACTACACCGAATCAACTGAAGTACTTCTACCACATGACACCACAACCACCATCATCATACAACACGATCACCACAACAACCTCCCTCCATCACATCACCACCACAGTCCACCACCAACAACCACAACCACCCCACGAACAATCACACCACCACCACCACCCCCCCATCACAGCCTCCCCACCACCATCTTGGTTGGTTTGCCCTTTGGCCAACAAAACGAGAATTTGTTTATAATGTAGAAGCTGTCGCCAATACAACTACCACACCCTGAGTTAGCGAGGTGCATGACCTGGATAAGGAGTTGTCCAGGCAAACCGGACAACTCGCTAACCACGACCCCGGACCATGATCCAAAAAGCGATTAATATCCATAAGGCATAAGGAACCACGCCCATAGTCTCATCCTACCCGGGGATCGAACCTGGAGCCGATCACTTGCAAGGCGAGTATGACTACCACTACACCACCACACATTATCACCACCATCACCGCACAACAACACACACCTCACCACATTACACCACCGCACTACACCACCACACTACATCACCACACACCATCACCATCTACACATTACTTCACCACCACCAATCATCACCATCTCCAGACTAAAACAACTCGTCAGCATCACTACCACAACACCTCATAATTACCACAACACAACCATCACCATCACACCTCACCACCACAGCTGACCACCTCACACACCTCCACACTTCACCACATTTCCACACCGTACCACACCACCTCACCACATTTCCATACCACACTACACTTCCCCACCAACCACACTTCACCACACTTCCACACCACACCACCACACCTCACCATACCACACAGGAAGGCCACAATGCCTCACAAGATATATCTTCATTAAAGTTAGCCACAAAAAGTCGTTCAACAAAATTTAACAAACTCGGCCCACAAAACACACTCCTATTTCAGCAAAAACTTTGGCAGACTAAATATTTCAACCGAAAATTCTTTTAGTCCGGATAATTTGTTGGACTGTCGGGGGTGGTGGAACACGACACAGTGGTGTGTCAGATTACTAATAGTGGAGCACGAGACAGTGGTGTGTCAGATTACTGTAGTGGAGCACGACACAGTGGTGTGTCAGATCACTGTAGTGGGGCACGGCACAGTGGTGTGTCAGATTACTGTAGTGGGCACGACACAGTGGTGTGTCAGATTACTGTAATGGAGCACGAGACAGTGGTACGTCAGGTGCTGTAGTGGAACCACGACTTTGATGGTATGTCAGATTACTATCAAGTGGAACACGACACAGTGGTGTGTCAGATTACTGTGAAGTGGAGCACGGGGAACAGTGGTGTGTCAGATGAAGCTAGTAGAGCACGACACGTGGTGTGTCAGATCACTGTAGTGGAACACGACGCAGTGGTGTGTCAGATTACTGTAGTGGAGCACGACACAGTGTGTCAGATCATAATAGTGGAACCGCGACACAGTGAAGGTGTCAGATCACTGTAGTGGAGCACGACACAGTGGTGTGTCAGATCACTATGGTGGAGACACGACACAGTGGTGTGTCAGATTGCTGTAGTGGGGCACGACAGAGTGGTGTGTCAGATTGCTGTAGTGGAGCACGACACAGTGTGTCAGATCACTGTAGTGGGCACGACACGTGGTGTGTCAGATCACTGTAGTGTTTACGACACAGTGGTGTGTCAGATCACTGTGGTGAGACACGACGAAGTGGTGTCAGATTACTGTAGTGGAACACGACACGGTGGTGTGTCAGATCCACTGTATGGTGGGCACGAAGTTCAGTGGTGCCTGTCCAGATTGCTGTAAGTGGGCACGACACGGTGGTGTCAGATCACTGTAGTGGAACACAGTGGTGTGTCAGATTACTGTAGTGGAACGCACGACACAGTGGTGTGTCAGATCACTGTAGTGGAGCTGCAGAGGCAGTGGTGTGTCCAGGTCCTGTAGGGGGGAGCACGACACAGTGGTGTGTCAGATCACTGTAGTGGAGACACGACACAGTGGTGTGTCAGATTACTGTAGTGGAACACGACACAGTGGTGTGTCAGATCCTGTAAGTAAGAACCCCGCAGCACAGTGGTGTGTCAGATCACCTGTAGTGGAGCGACACAGTGGTGTGTGTCCAGATCACTGTAGTGGAGCACGAGACAGTGGTGTGTCCAGATCACTGTAGTGGAGCACGAGACAGTAGTGTGTCAGATCACTGTAGTGAGAGCACGACACCAGTGGTGTGTGGTCACTGTAGTGGAACACGACACAGTGGTGTGTCAGATTACTGTAGTGGAACACGACACAGTGGTGTGTCAGATTACTGTAAGTGGAAGACACGACACAGTGGTGTGTCAGATCACTATGATGGGCACGGCTTGCAGTGGTGTCAGATCACTGTAGTGGGCGGCAGTGGTGTGTCAGGTCACTGTAGTGGAGACACACGACACAGTGGTGTGTCAGATCACTGTAGTGGGCTTACGACACAGTGGTGTGTCAGATTGTGTAGTGGGCGACACAGTGGTGTGTCAGATCACTGTAGTGGAACACGACACAGTGGTGTGCCAGATCACTGTGGTGGGTGCTGACACAGTGGTGTGTCAGATTGCTGTAGTGGAACACGACACGGTGGTGAGTCAGATCGCAGCAGTGGAGACACGACACAGTGGTGTGTCAGATCACTGTAGTGAGACACGACACAGTGGTGTGTCAGATTACTGTAGTGGAACCTGACACAGTGGTGTGTCAGATTACTGTAGTGGAACACGACACAGTGGTGTGCCAGATCACTGTAGTGGAGCACGGCAGTGGTGTCAGATAATAGTGGAACACGACACAGTGGTGTGTCAGATCACTGTGAGTGGAACACGACACAGTGGTGTGTCAGATTACTGGTAGAGACACAGTGGTGTGTCAGATCACTGTAGTGGAGACACGACTTACAGTGGTGTGTCAGATCACTGTAGTGGAACTTGGCACAGTAGTGTCAGATCACTGTAGTGGAACACACGACACAGTGGTGTGTCAGATCACTGTAGTGGAGCAC